GTGAAATAAGTCAATCACAAAAGGACAAATATTGTATTAGTCCATTATTGTAAAAGTCAAGGAAACGTTTATCTATGGAAGGACATTTTCTTTGTTGGTTACCAGGGGTGGGAGGGGAGGGAAGGGAACACTGTTAGATAGCTAGAGATAAGTACTGATCTGGGTGAAGAGAACGGCTATGTACCAAATGTGAGTGATCGATATAGTGGCATTGAGGAAGAGAAAGATAGAGAGGTACGTGGGAGGTACAGACAACACAGATGAACCCTTTTGCACATATAGTACAACGTTGTCAGTGAAGGCAAACATGGGTATATGGGTGGACAGACTGAACTATTAGGTATGTCTATGAAGTGAGGAATGTACCCAAGAACATGGTTAGGGTTGGCAGACAATGGTCGTATAAGTTTATGTGTATGATCTGAATTCCCAGGTGTATAGTAGAGCTGACAAGGGGCAAGGTTGTAGTCACTGCTTGGTCACAGCCAGCTACTCAGAGAGACCGAGTAGTTGACCCTGTGGGCTCGGGACCATAGTCACGGGGGACATCAAGCTCAATTGGCATAACATATTACACAAAACACTGTTCTACCTCCTACTCTGGCAAGTAGTGACTGGGATCTTAAAAGATTGCAAGCTGCCATCTAGATGCAACAATGGGTCTCTCCTTGTCCAGAGCAAAGAAGAATAAAGAAAACCAAAAATTCATGGAAATAATTAGTCCTAGCGACTGGTACACCATCCGATCTGCAGCCTATACGACTATGAGACCAGAAGAACTAGATGGTGCCCAGCTACCACCATCAACCACTCAGAGGAGGATAGAGGAGAACAATGTGGAACAAAACTCAAAATCATTTGGGGGAGGAAAAGAAAGGGGGGAGGAACCAGGTTTGCTTGTCTGATAGAGCCTAGTGGAACCCCTAAGACTATGGCCCCTAGCTGCCTTTCAGGTCTGGAACTGAACCCATACCCATGGCTTCCAACTAAACAAAAGACAGGCATATGAGTTGAACATTTACCTGAGGTAGATACACTCCCTGGAGAGATCAATCATGGGAGAAAGAAGGGCTGCTTATGCACAGGAAGACAACTCAGGGGGCAGGAGGGCATGGAGGGATGGACACAGGGAAGAAGTAACTATTGGAAGGAAGTGAGAGAAGAGCTGCACTGTGGTAAACCGTAGTCAATGTCATGAGACAAAGTGTGTGTGAACTGCTGTATGGAAAGTGAATTTGCTCTGTAAATTTTCACCCAAATCATAATGTTAAAGAAACATAACCAAATTGTTAGCTTTGTAATCTCCAGTATTCAGTCCAGCCCCTGGAACAAAACAGGTGCTCAGTAAATGTTTCCTCAAAGTCTTATGAAGAAACAAGACAAGGGTGCCCACTCTTATCAGTTCTATTTAATACTGCATTACAAGTCCTAGCCAGAACAGTTAAGACAAGAAAAATTAAAGGTATCCAGAATGGAAAAGAAAAAGAAAAATTATCTCTATCTGTGGATGACACAATCGTATATACAGAAAATTCCAAAGAGTCCACAAGAAAACTTCTAGAGCTAATCGAGGAATTTAGCAAAGTTGCAGGGTAGAAGGTCAACAAATAAAAATCTTTTTATTGGGTTTCTATGTTGTTGTTGTTATGTGCCATCAAGTAGGACCCGACTCATAGCGACCCCTCCTTGGGTTTCTGAGGCGGTATCACTATGGAAGTAGATTGCCCAACCTTTCTTCCTAGGAGTGGCTGATGGGTTTGAACTGCCATCCTTCTGGTTCGCAGTCAAGTGCCTTAAGGCACTAAGCTACCAGAGCTCCTTGGGTTTCTACAACCAGCGCCAATTTGAAAAGGAACGATTCTACTTACAATAGCATCTAAGAAAATAAAATATCTAGGATAAATCTACTCAGCGACATGAAGGACTTACACGATGAAAACTATAAAACACTGCTGAAAGCGATTAAAGAAGATTTAAATAAATGGAAAGATGTTTCATATTCATGGATTGGAAGACTTAATACTGTTAAGATGTTAACACTACAGAAGGAGAGTCAAGAATAGGAGGAGGATATGGAACGTGTGGCTAACTGCCTCCATGAATAACTAACTGACTCCTTTGCCATGAGACCAGAAGAATAGGATGGGGCCAGGTTACTAGTACTGAACATCATGATAAAAAACTTTACAGAATCCTGATCAAAGAGGGAAAATGTAGAACAGAATTTCAAATTCTTATGAACTTCAGACTCCCTGGAGCCATGAGGATTGGATGAACCCCTAAAACTATTGCCCTGAGATAATCTTTAAACCTTACACCAGAAATATCCCCAGAAGTCTTCTTAAAATCAAACAGTAGTTTAGCTTCCCTAGTAACAAATGTCTGTGTTGAGCATTACGCTCTCTTAAGAACTATCTACATGGGAACAAATTAATAACAGCAAATCAGAATGTTAGACAGAAATCTTAGGGGGCAGTGAATTTACGTTATGAGGAGAAACAACTCAGAAAAGGAGGGTGAGAATGGTTGCACAACTTGAAGAAAGTAATCAATGTCACTAAATGGTACATGTAGAAATTGTTGAGTTACAAGTAGATACACGCCCTGGAGAGAACAATCATGGGAGAAGGAAGGGCTGCTTATGCACAGGGAGATAGCTCAGGGTGCAGAAGAGTATGAAGGGATGGACACTGGGAGGAGGTAACTATGGGGAGGAAGTGGGAAGGGAGCTGCTGCATTGTAAATTTTGGTCAATGACATGAGACAAAGTATATGTGAACTGCTGTATGAAAAGTGAATTTACGCTGTAAATCTTCCCCCAAATCCTAATAAAAAAAAAAAAAAATTGTACCCCCCCCAAAAAAAAAAAATTGTTGAGTTAGTATATATTTTTCTGTACATATACATATGATGCCAGTATTTTTTATTTTTTAAAAAATAAAGTCTGATGAAGAGAAAATGAGAGGAAAAAATTAAAATGTTAAGAAAAAGGCATACAATGAGAAAATAATTAACCACCAACTTGTGATTGAAGCTGAAGATGGGTTGGTGATCTCCAAGCCGAAAGGATTTTTGACTTGTCTCATTTGTTTTTTGAACACTCTTGTGCTGAACTGTGTTTCTTCTGAATTTCTCAGAATCACTGGAACATCCCAACCAAACCTGAAGATAGGTAAAAGTAAAATATAATTTAAATAAATGTTGAAACTTCATGCTATATGAATAACATGTTCTGTTTCATTGACTATTCCTTTTAATATTAAGTTTCAGAAAGAGATGTTAAATTACCCTCCATAATTGCACTATATCACAGAATTAATCTAGAATTAAGGGAGAGTAGATGGCCCAAAGAATTGCAATACATTGTTCAGTTGGTTGATTCAACATACTCTTGAAATCAAAGAGTTCTATTGTTAGTATTATTGTCGGTAACAAAGGAGTATAATGATTATCAATAAACTATACTTAACACAACAATAAAAACATGACAGTAATTACCAAAATTTTTAGATGATATGAAAAAATATATATATATTTAATATGCAGATTATTTGATATTATTTATGAGATAGGAAACTTTCAGAACACTAAATACAGTCCCTTATTTACATACTACATTTTCTATTTTTAAATTTCATGTAAAAACTTAAAAGTCTGACAATGTATACTGAACTGATGTAGGACAACAAAAAAGACTAAATTCAATTTCTAGTAAAATTAAATAGCAGCTAAGTTTACTCAATTTAAATATAATGTCTTAAAAAGAATACACACCAGTTAAACTAGGGGACTTCAGATTAAGACAGCACAGTTAGGTTCGTATTTTGATGCACTACCTTCTCTCCAAACACACAGCATGGTACATAAAAAATAAAAATATAATTAAAAAGACCCTGCTGATATGAGTAAACAAACTGTGGTATGTCCATACAAAGGAATATCACTTAGCAATGAAAACAAACAAAGTATATTCATGAATTTCAAAAATATCATGCTGTGCAAAAGAAGCCTTACACAAAAGAGCACAAACTGACTCCATGGATATGAAATTGTAGAGCCGGCAAAGCTAACCTATGAGCGAAATAAGCAGCGGGACAATGGTTGCTTCTGGGAGTGTAGGAATAGGGATTGGCTGGAAAGGGCATACAGGAACTCTGACCAATGACGGTAATTTTGTCTAGAGTAGTTTGAGTTATATAAATTTGTTAACACTCAGTAGATGGTACAGTTAAGGTCTGTGCATTTCATTGCATATATATATTACCAAAAAGAGAACTATAAACAAATAATGAACTCTCAATAATACGCAATGCTTAAATACTTACTGTAAAGGAAGTGTACAAATTACTTTTAAGTGCATCAAAAAATAAGATGGACTAATAGATGGATAGGATGGATGGATAAATAGACATATATGTATAAAGAAATTATAGCAAAATATTAATTGTAGAATTTAGGTGATTGGCATATCAATGTTCACTGTATCCTTTCAAATTTTCTGTATGTTTAAAATTTTTCATAATAAAATATAGGAAAACTAGATATAGCAAGTTTCAAAGACGATGAAATATCTTCACAGATTTGAGAAGCAAAAGAAACATAAAGTAGTGAATGAAGCTGATGCCAAGGTTTGATGAGTTCTGAGTCTGATAGGTAGTGACAACTAAGTCCTGACACTGTAAGGGGGCCTGATACATCGTAGTCACTTATCTGTCTCCACTAGTCTGTCAGGGGAGACCTGTGTCTTAACTATACTAGTGAACAAGTTTCAGCAGAGTTTATAAACCCAACACAGACTAGGAAGAGCTTGTATCTACTCCCGAAAATCAGCCAGTAAGAACCCTGTGGACTACAATAGTCCAATCAACAATCAATCGGTCATGGGGATGATGCCAGACAGGCGGTTTCGTTCAGCTGTATATACCACATCATCATGAGTTGGGGGTTGACTTGATGACAGCTAACAACAGGGTTTATAACAGGGCTTGGTACACAGTGATCACAATGTAAGTGCTAACAATGACAACGATAACAATAATGGTCATAGGGAGTTTGGGTAGGCAAAGAAGGGCTACTGAGAAAAAACAAATCCAGTAACAACTCCTCTTTGCTCTTCAGAATCAACTACCCAGCACTTTCTATATCCAGGGCCCATCAGAGCCCCAGTGCCTTTTAAGAGATTGAGTCAGGGGTATAGGGTGGGAAGTGTCCTCTGACAGCTTTAGGGTCATACCTTCTCCTACTTTCCTTCATTCCTGAGTGAAAAGAACAAAGGGGAAAACACCACTGTGCACATATTCATTACATTACTAAACCCCTCCTCATCATTTTAGCTTTTTGTCTTTTTTTTTTTAAAAAAAAAACCCTCCACTGCCTGGTTTCTTACACCCCACTGTTGTTGTTGTTGTTGTTATGTACCGTCAAGTCGGACCCAACTCATAGTGACCCCTCCTCCTTGGGTTTCCAAGGCAGTATCACTACGGAAGTAGATTGCCCCATCTTCCTTCCAAAGAGTGGCTGGTAGGTTTGAACCACCAGCCTTCTGGTTAGCAGTCAAGTGCCTCAGGCACTATGCTACCAGAGCTCCCTACACCCCACTACCAGCACTAAAAGCTAGAATTCAGATCTTGTGGGAATTGTTTTTACAGGAGATTCAAGTATTGCACTTCAGGTACTTTATCATGTTGCACCCAAAAATTTCAACTAAATAATCCTTAAAGGTTAGGACCCAGAAACTCTAAAAGCCAAGAGGCTTCAGGAAAAATCTGGAAGCAGCCCAGTATGTGCACAACATTCCTTTAAATAAACTTTATCTACTCCATCATGTATATGGTTTTAATATGAAAAGTATTTTTCTCCAAATCTTTACATAAAATCAGTGTTTCAGGAAGGTACACCGTATTTGCTCTATGGCTTTGCATACACCCCAGAATGGGACAAATAATTTGAGGTGTGACGTGTTGCTCCTTTATCCACAGGCTGCTTGGCCCAGTATCACATCAACACTTGGCAAAGCATACCCATTATTAAAGGAAACCAACCTCTACATTTCCCATTTCTCTGCCCATGTTTAATCTTGGTTCTACATTTTCTAATATCCTAAGATCCTTGATTTGGTTCATATCCATCTCTTTCAATGGATATTAGGAATCTTGCTCAGTCTTTAGACTTTTTCCTTATTTGACCAGTAAATACAAAGATACATACAAAGAAAACGCACAGTTCAGTGAATTAGACAAAGCCATCGTTACTCAAGCTAAGAATCAGAACAATGTTTACCCTCCCAGAAGTTCACCTTGCATCCCCTCCCAATCTATAATTTATATTACCTGTTTTTGAATTTTATACAAGTGTAATCATATTGTGTATAGTTTACTCTCCCGTAACACAGCATTACACTTGCAGATTCATCCATAAAGCTCCAGTTCATTTTTGTGGCTGGCCTATTCTACTGTGTAAATATACCACAATTTGCTTCTCATTCTACTCTTAGAGGACATTTAAGTTATCTTCAGGTTTTGGCTGTTATGTATGCTTATATGAACATTCTCACACAAGTCTCCCAGTACACAAACATGTATGAAGGTACACACTTGGACATGGAATTGCTTAGCCATAGATAGGTCTGTGCTTCTTCACCTATAGTGGATAACTCTAACAAATTTCTACATGGGAATATCAATTTACACTCCTACCAGCAAAGAATGAATGTACCCCCTGCTCCATATCCTTGCCATTATATTCTTAGTTTTAGTTTCCATTTCCCTAATGACCAGTGAGTTTGAGCACGTTTTCTTCTGCTTGTTGCTACTTGAATCCCCTCTTTTGTGCAAGCCCTTTTCCGGCCCCTTGCCCATTTTTCTACTGGTTTTTGCATTTCTTATTAATTTACAGAAATTCTTTATATGTCTGAATATATCTTCTCCTATTGCGCATCTTGTGTATCACTCTTACAATGGTAATTTTTGATCAACAGAATCCTTAACTTTAACATAGAGTTATCAACTTTTTCCTTTAAGGTTAATGCTTTTGCTCTTTGGCTTTTCATTACTGCCTTGTCTGAAGTATGTCCTGACCCTGCTACATTTCTGAATTACAAATGCACACATTTTTTAAAATTCCTGTTCACTCAAAGCAACCAGCACCTATCAAGGTTCTAGGTCCATATTTGACTTTGTAAGCACTGTTCCCCTGTGATCCTCAAGATTTAAAAAGAAAGAGGAAAGTCACTGTGATATCATAGTCTGACCACACCTCTTTTTCTGAACATTATGCTTGCTCTTAAGATCATGTTAGCTGTTTTGTTTGCCTTCTTAACTTTCTGTTGTGATTTGGGTGAAAGTTTACAGAGCAAATTTGTTTTTCATTCAACTGTTCATACACATTTTGTTTCATGCCATTGACTGCAATCCCCACAATGTAACAGCTCTCTTCCCACTTCCTCCCTATGGTTACCCTTTCCCTGGGTCTTCCTTCCCTATGCATCCTGCCCTCTGAGCTTTCTCCCTGTGAAAATGTTACCCTTCGGCTCTCTCTTGGTTGATTGTTCTAAGGAGTGTACCTGCCTGTTATAACTGTTCACCTCATAGGCCTATGTACTGTCTGGCTGAAAGCTAGCCAGGGGAGTGACTTCAATTCCAGGCCTGGAGGGGGACTAGGGATCATAGTCTCAGGGCTTTCACCAAGCTCTATCAGGATAGTAAGCCTCATCTTTTTCATGATTAGAGTTTTGTTCTACATTTTTCTCCTACTCTATCCTGGATCTCTAATTTTGATCCCTTTCCAAGTGGTTGACATTGGTAGCCAGGGACCACTTAATTCTTCTGGTATCAGGGTCATTAGGCTGAGGTTCCCATAGTCCACTTGTTCACTGGACTAATTGTTTCCATGCATCTTTGATTTCCTTCACTCATCTTTGTTTTAGAGGAGAGAGCAACGGTTGCATCTTAGATGGCCTCTCACAAGCTTTTAAGATCCCAGTCACTACTCACTAAAGTAGGATGAAGAACAATGTTTAGCTGTTTTTTGTTTGGTTGTCTTTTGGCAACTTTGATAGACTGATTCATGTTGAGCTTGCAATCTAGTATAACAGTCACCTTTTTCACATTTATTTTAACAGCAACATACTGATTCAATGTGAACTTGCTGATTTCTGCACATGA